GCAAGAATAACAGGAAAATATATGAAAGTCAGAAACAACAACAGAAGAGTCTGAAAATGTTAAAGTGAGCTGCGGCAAGAGACTTGGAAGATATTGAAAACTTCTTAAAAATATAGTTTGTTATGTAAAAAATCCAATGTATTTTGGGATCTAACCATCCAAAACAGAAACTAATAACTGGTACCAGCAACAGAGAAAACATGCATACATATTACACGGCATCAGCTCCCAGCAATGTCTGTCCAACAAGAAAAAATAATCCGTGTATTTTCAAAACATAAAGATTCAAACATAAAGATTATTAATTCAATTTTCCTGGTGACATGCTCAAAAGTGCAGACTGAAGGGCAACTGAACAAACATCATATAAAATTACTCAACCGGTAGCCAATCCAAAAGGTATCAAATCAATCTAACAGAATCACTTTGTGTCTGTCTGACCAAATGTATTAGTTTCTAAAGTTCCACAGGACTGCTCCTTGTTTTTAAAGCTACATACCAACACAGCTATCCATCTGAGACTTTCTTCCAAAAAGGAAGACCATTTCCATTAAGAGATTTTATGAAATCATGCAAAACGATGGCAGTACTAAAATGGGGCAGTAAATAGTGTATGTGATTGTTGCTAGGTTGCCAGTTCAAATCTAGCCCAGGGAGATAGCGAAATTAATGTCTGACATCTAATTCATGTTTGGCAGTCTGTATGGAATGAATTGATGAAATCAGTATAAAAACATATAAATCACCACATCACAAAAAACAAATGCCATACTTGTCGGCAGCCTTAGTGAAGAGGCCAATGATCCAATGGACATGAATTCCTCAGTCCTTCGGATCTACAATGAAGTAGGCTGGTGTTGAGGTAAAGCAGGCAAATCTGTACTGTTGCTCTACCGCATTTTACCTGTTCTTTGAACTAGAGGACTTTAATCTCCCTATGCAGCTGACAGTTTGGTATATTTCACATAAGAAATACAACAGCAGATATACACCAACCAATACTGACATACCAAAAAGCTTATCAGAAAGACTTGAATACTGTGTTCCTTTGTTGACCCTGTCCATCTAGACGGCAGTTTTGGCAGAGCTCAGAAACAGATAATCCAATATCATGTAAAAAAGTAGAGGGAGGATCAGAGATCTGCAGTTTATGGAGTGATGACTTAGGGGAGGGGGAAGCAGTGGCACTAAAACGAGACAAGAATGAGCCAAGGCCAAGGAGCCTAGCCAAGTCAATGAATATATTCAATCAGTGTTTCCCTGTACACTGTGCACTTGTGCAGCAACTCAGGAGAGATTCAAATACTGTCCAGTTGATTAGCAGAGCTAGATTTTTTGTTTCTACTGGTGGTGCACATTTGCACATTTTGCACATAAAATTATTCTACTCAGTGATGAAAAGATTAGAAGAAACATTGTATTCAACCCCACCAAAAAAGAGCAAGCTGAGGAGGTCCTGGTAGAGCAAGGGGCTACACAATCATATTCTGAGACTGCACTATGATTCTGCGGTGAGCAGTATCTCACTTTGGCAACTCATTTGGGCACAGCTTATTTTGTGGGTGGAATTTAGAAGAATAAGTCTGCTTTCCCTCCCCTATCCATCACTTTGTTTGGGCAGGTATTTTCACACTCACAGTAAAATATTTAGGAGCCTGTTTTGTAATATAAATAAAGACTTCTCAATTAAAACAAGTTTGGAGACAAATTTTGTCTGGGTAGAAATAGATAGTAGGAGCAAAGTTATTTGCAGGTGCCTTGTGCTGCTGGAATCCCATTGGCCAGGAAAGCTATGGATTAAGGAATATTTGGTTGAGTATTCAGATAACACCCCTGGTTAGTGGATGCTGATGCCTCTGTTAGCTTGTTAGTAAGCTCTAGTGAATTACCAAACCCGAGTACTATACCAGATAGCAATCCTGCCCTGTTACTTCATGAGGAGGTAAAAGGGATAAGAGGATCAGGATTAAGACTCTCTAGATCCTTCCCAAAGGTGTGCCACAGAGGGAAGGATCTAGCCCTGAGACTGTGGGCTGCCATGTCATCTTGTAGACTAAATCTCATAAAATTCATCATCCGAAATGCAGAAAAATAGTTCTGGAGCTCAAAATAATGAATTCTGTCATTTCCAATAGAAGTGTGAAGGGAGAATTATGAATGAACCTTTTAAAAATACATATGTGGCAGGAGATTGCCATGCTACAAAATGAAAACAGCATGCTTGTGTTTCAATGGCCCAATCCTGAAACCAAGACCTTTCATTTTCAACTAACTTAAATTGACAATTGAAAAAGGTTTGAAAATGTAGCCTTTCAGTTTGATAGATTTCAGCTATAACATTCTAGACACTATTTCAACCCAATTTTTAAGGGTTTGTAACTGAAATTTTAAAATGAAAAAATAATTGAATCAAAGGATGCATTAAAATATCTCTTATGTATCAAATGTGCTGCTTGTTAAGCACACTTTCTGGTTTTGATGCAAATCTTTCCGACTTTACACAAATACAGGATAATTTAAAAAAGTAAAACAGGTTCTGTGTAATGTGTGTACTTCAGTTAATATAACTTATGTTACAAATACTATTTGCTTATGGAATGATTTCTTATAACAGATGTAAAAAAATCACTATGATATGAAGTGATAATTTACCACTGGAATGATTTCTTATAACAGATGTAAAAAAATCACTATCTATGATATGAAGTGATAATTTACCAAAAATAATACCAAACTTTATCTTCTAATAATGTCCATATAAACAGTGGAACAATGTAGCCATCAAATGCTATCTATTGGACAGCAACATGAGGCAGTGTGGTGTAAGATACAGTATATACAACTTGCCTACACTTCCCTCCTTAACATTACTATAAAGAGGATCTCTTCACCTGTTTTTTAACTTACAAAGTAAAAGATGGCTTTCCATACAGCTGAGTTACTCAACTGAATAACAAGTGAAAAGAAATTAAAATCTTTAAAACCTTATAAGCTGTAAAATCTAGCTAGCAAAGTGCCCTTATTACTATAGAAAATGAAGGTTGTGTGATCCCTGAATAGCCTAACCACTAAGGTATCAAATAGCTGATCCACAGGCTGCTTTGCCAGAAATATTACATTACTGTACGGTATTATGGGCAGAGAGTGAAAGAGGGGGAAAAGGGGTATGGAATATACAGTCTGAAGCACAGGTACGGAAATTAAGAAATGGAGTGCAGTTGTCCATTTTACTTTAAAGAGGTTCGCAGCAAAATCTATTTGGCTCAGAATGACAATATAATACCAGTGATTGATTCTTAACTCAACTATCTGCATACTATACTTATTCTTGATATAATCGATTTTTTCATCTTTTACTGAGTACTCAGAAATCCTTCAGCCGGAACAACCTTTTTGCAGAAGGTATTATATAAAAATGCCAGGTATTGTATTAATAATTTTTGGATGTCTTAAAAAAAGTTTGGTTTTACTGGGACATATAATGCTGGCTATATGATTATGTATCTTCAAAATATGTATTGAACCACTCTTTTTCAGGAAAAATCTGAGTGGCTCCTGAAAGAGGCAATGGGAGCTGAGTGTACTCAAACCATTATGGGATCAGGCTCATATATGCAAAGTCAGTAGAAGATTAAAGTAGTTGTATGCTTTATAGCTAAACGAATATTCTCACCAAAATGCTGAACAAGTTATTTCAAGCAAACTGACATCCAAATTCTCATTCCTACTGGTGCAAATGCACTGCAACTCAACTGAAATCAAGTATGATTTGGTAGATATGGATGTGATAGGTATAGGATCTGAGGAAGCGTGGGCGGTAAAGATGTCCTTACACAACCTTGAGGCATCCTCACCATGCGCCTGGTCAGTATCTGGATTAACCCTCAGTACAAATCAGAGCAACCTGGGGGCTGATCTAATTTATGTCTGGCTTTGAGCATCTATAAGGGACAAGTCAAGTAATTAGGGATTACCAGGTCATATACATACTCTGTTTCGAAAGTTCCGCGTGCAGTCTAGACGCTCTCTTTCGAAAGAGGCTCTTTCGAAAGTATCTTTCGAAAGAGGCTTGCAGTCTAGACATAGGCCATGCGCCTGGTCAGTATCCGGATTAACCCTCAGTACAAATCAGAGCAACCTGGGGGCTGATCTAATTTATGTCTGGCTTTGAGCATCTATAAGGGACAAGTCAAGTAATTAGGGATTACCAGGTCATATACATACTCTGTTTACCGGTGGTCACTTTGGGAGGGTAGCACCGAGCTGCTATACTGCAAACTCCCATTACCTGGAGATTCCTCCTATGCCTAAGTGTATAGTTAGGAAAATGGCTTTATAGCACAAAGAATGGCAGCAAAGCAAAATAGTGATTTGGGTCTATTAGTTACTATGAATTTATACCTGCATAACTGAGAGCAGAATTTGGCCCAGAATGTCCATTTTCTTATTAAAAATACATGTTATGTAAAGTTATCCTTTGTGCTAATGCGCCAGTAGAAGAAACTTTATATGCTTTGTATGAGTTGCTCAAATGGAAGTTAACACAACTGTATTATGAGCTTGTCTAACACCTGCTTTTTTGTATGTGTATAAGATGAACCTTGAGGAAGACAGTGAAAGAGGAAGAGAGGGGTCAGGAAACTGAGTACCAGACAAGGAATAGCCCTTTTAATTTTTTTTTCCTTTCAAGCCTTCAGAGACAAAGAAATGATGGGAAGTAAGGACTAAGTTACAAAAGACCATTTGAAAGGTTTTCAATATTTTCTCTCATCATTAAAAAAGAAAAATCAACTATATCTTGTTCATAATATTCTGTCAACATCTGGCTATAATTGAATATTACAGATTACTTTTGGTCATGTTACATAAGATCCAAAATAGTACTTTTAAGTAATATAGGATTATTTAGTGCTTTATATTTTTCTCTAGTGACTTTTAAGTAAGTCCTAAATTCAAGAGATTCCAGAGCTTTTCCAGTCATCTGAAGAAGTGGGTTTTACCCACAAAAGCTCATGATACCATCTACATGTTCTGTTAGTCTTTAAGGTGCTACTAGACTATTTGGGGGGCAGGTTAAGTTTTGGAAGAATGGTGTTATATTTACTGCAAAGTATATATTGAAAAAAATATTTGAACCTATTTTCAATAGACCCCAGACAGGTTCATCTGTCATTTAGAGTGCAAGCCCTGGTAGGCCTTAAAATGTGATCTACCATCTGTCTGTATGTGCACTCCAGATAATTCTTTGCTTTCCCTGGGCTCCACACTATAATGGCTTTACCGTTTAAAAAGAATGGGTGTGTTTTAGCATGCCCTGAAAAGGCTGTACATAATTCCCAAGTGCCTTTGTGATCACCAACCCTACAATAACAAACCAGCCCACTTCATGTGTGGTCACGAGGTTACTGCCAGGAAATCAGACAGGTAACACATTTCCTTTATACTAATACAACTGCCCACCTCTTGCTATCCGAGCAACGCTATGGTAGAGTCTGGGAAATACCTTGGCCGTTCTAGCACTATCCCGGAGCACTGCTTTCTGCTTTTTTGCTAAAAGGCCCCATGGGCCTGCTGCGGCCCAACCCCCGCATACCTGCGGCGGCGGCACCCTACCAACATGGATTTCTGCAGCTAGCCTAGAGGCACGTGACCCGCCGCCTCCGGAAACCATTGTTCTCCCTCGCGCCGCCAGACCCACTTTTTTTTTCTTTTGCGTTTGCTCTTGGCTCCGCGTCCAACCAGCGGCGGCTCCCGGGGCGCGCGGCTGGGAACCCGGCTGCCCTGCGCGAGGCAAGGGACGCGGCGCCAGTGGGGGAGGGGCGCTCCGCGCGCCCCTGTGCACAAGTGAAACTTACCTGCTGGGCAGAGCCGCTCCTTCGCCTCTCGGGGCGCAGCTCGGCAAGAAGTCAGGGCGGCGGCGGCGGCAGCAGCATTTCCCGCCCCCCGACCACCACGGGGCCCCTTGTCCAGCCGGCCTCGCCCCCCCGTCCTGCTCGGGCAGCGGGAGCTGGCTTGGGGTCGCTGGCAAAGCCTTTAGCATACGCGCCAGCGGGGGAATAGTAACTTTGCTCAATGGCGACAGGGCACCAGGCTGAGCCCGAGCATCAGATCGATTTACTAAACAAACTGAAACGTGGGTGGGGATGTTAAACAGTAACCAGCAGCCTCAAGGAAAACTGAAAGCGGCTCCTGCTGGCTCGGCTGCTCCCACGGCCCGGGCCCTTTCCGCGGGCGGGGCCGCTTCAGCCCCGGCGCCTGAGGGGGAAGCAGCTTTGCCGGGCCCTGGTACTGCGGCTGACCAGGAAGCCAAGAGCGAAGCTAGAAGCACTGCACCAAACTCCCCAGCAGCAGGGCCAGTCTCCCTGCTCGCATGCCGGCAGTGCACCTTCTTAGCTTCGGCTTGCCTCTCTGGAGCGAGGGGTAGCCCTGCAGGCTTGGTGTGGGGTCAGCGGCTCTATTGTTTTGAGAGAACGTTTCTCCACACACACCTCAGCCATTCATCCCACTGGCTCAGCTAAAACTCCCGCCACGCCAGCTAGCCACGTTGTGGGCGAGAAAGCGATTAGGTGACTAGGTTTAAAGGCCATCCTCGAGATTCGAAGGCGAGTCTTTGCCCCTCCGCACACGCTCAGCAGCCAATCACTCAGATCAGTGCAGCAGTGCCGAAAGGGGTGCTAAACCAGCTTTCTGCTGCTGAGCTGGCAGGGCAAAGGCAGAGCAGGACTCCTCACCGTGGCTTCGGGATCCCTCTAAACTGGAGAGCCGGGACAGGTGGGGCAGCAGCATGCCCAGCATGTAGAAGAGGGATGGATCGCAGCTGTCACTTCCATCATTTCCATATGGGAAATTGAAGTTTTTCCCCTTTTGGCAAAGGTGCTGCCTCGAGGACCTCAGTGAAGAGAAAGGGTGATGTAGCCCAACGCGCAAATAACTTATCAGTCCTTTCGAGATATTTGCTCCCTGAAATGTTTGTTTGCACGGAAATAAATACTTTTTAAAAAAATTCTGCCTAGCAACCCTGGCGTGCCAAGAGAACATTCATAGTTTGTTTTATCACTGGGGCCCAAGACATCAGCTGAAGGTTCTCTCTACAATGCTCTCTACGGTGCTTTTTGAAGCCACCGATGTGATTTTTATAGAGCAGACAAACGCTCGCAGATCCAAACTCCTAAATAATAGTGTGACCGTCGAAAACAATCAGAATAAGTCAAAGATGTTACTAACCCCGTGCATAGTCATTTAATCTTCTTACACTCCTTCCCCCCCACCCCCCGCCCATGGTTCTGCAGTAAGAATAACCTGTAGATCAAAGAGCTGGATCTTTCTCTCTTGAATTAGAAGTTCTCTCGGGTTACTTCTCTATATTTGATTGAATCTCTTTTGGAATGCATCCTTTTTCGAACAAACTGGATTATTAAAAAAGGAACTTGGACAACAGTAAAGTATTATAATGAAAATATCTCTGTTCCAAGGGTCCTAGTTAGATAGAACTATTGCTTGCCCTGGGAGAGGTTACAACACAAGGAAGTAGTCATTAAATAACAACACTCATTGTTCTGCGAGATTGCAAATTTGTAGATTTCAAATAATAATTAACGGCTAGCCTGTACTGGAAACAAATTCTTCTTTCAAGCACGTGTATTACGGCCGCGTTGACATCCAGAAGATACACATAAAAATCTTGATGCAAAATATCAGAGATTTACTATATCGTTATTTGGAACTGGTGCGACTGAAAACGGGGTTTGACAAGTTGATACCGGGCAAGAAAGAGGTCTTATTGAGTTCCTGGAGTGGGGGAGAGAGGGAAGGAAGAGATCTTCCAAACAGAGGAAAACTCAGGGCGTTCCTTTACCTTGTATTTTTTTAGCACTTCTGTTTCCCATCACATTAGATATGAACACACCAGCGATTTAATGGCACTGTATCACAACAGCGAAAACACAGTTTCAAGCAAAAGAGTGAAAATACGGTTACTTCCCTTCTCCTTCTCTAATATTTTAATGCGATCAAGGATCATTAGTTTACCTACTGAGGAAATCGGCAAGTTTGCTCTATTTTCTCACTGTTTGGATCGCGACACGCCTTTTTATCTCGTTCTGATTACTAATTGTTCATTTATATCATTCTGCATGAAAATCCTGACTCAAAATATTAGTGGCATTCCACGTTTACTTTGAATGCGTTTGGACTTTACATGACAATTTTATTAGTTAGGAAACATTGTTAAAAACAAATAATTATCCAGATATGCGGCAAGGAAGCTGTAAATAGCTCCTAAGAACTTAAAAGCCATTTTAAAGGGTATTTTTAAAAGGCCAATAAAACTCAGTCTGGAAGATTTTAGGATGGCGTATGCAGTCCATGTCCTTCCGCAGACAAAATGCTAGGGCTTCTGAATGTCAGGGTAATGTTAACAATGAAATAAACGAAGGTGCTGATGGCTTAAATGTAGTTTGTGGTAATTTGCAAAGGCAGGTGTCCCTTTTGCGAGGTATTTGCTACTGACATCTGATAAACTAAGCCAGTCTTTTGGTGCCAGCTAATAATGGTCACTTATTTGAATAGAGCGAGTGGGCATAATTTGTTTTCTGTCCTCTCATCAGAGGCTAATTTTATCACATAAAGAGACGCAAATTGACTTAATACTTGTTCCGAAGTTGTAAGTGAATCGAAACATTTCAGAGGATACAAACTTCGGCAGTAATTACTCTCTCGTGCGGAGGAGGAGTGTCTGCTACGTTGTAACAAAACTAAATGTCTTGTAGAACACAAGATGGTATGTTTTTGATATGATGTGAATATTTGTGCGTAGTAAATATTTTGGACACGCAAGGCCACGTTTGATTTCAACTTAATGTCACTCATGATTTTCTTTTCCACTTTAGTTTCTTCTTAGAGCAGTTTTATGGTTTTCTGCCCATTTTCGTTACCAGTTCCTAAAGAAGCTGTACGGAGAAGGGGGCATCTTGGCGTTAGTCTTGCTGTCCTCGCTGCTGAGTTTTATAAGCTATGTTCACGTGTCACTTTCAAAAGAAAATCACTGGGCTCGCAAAAGCGCCTGGAAATCGGAGCTGTTCTAGACTGTCAAAGGCCAGACACCTGCGTCTTGTACTTATGTCGATTTTGGAGAAGAGTGCGTGGGGAGGGCAATTGTGGTAACAATAGGAAAATAAAAGTGATGCTGGCACGACGTGGCCCGCTAGATCTGTCCTCTCCAGTGGAAACCATGATCGCTCCCCTCCCCCAGTGTCTCTCACATGGCTAGGGGGTCGGACTGAAGATACGGGGCAAAGCCCCAGGAGCCCTTCGCTGTGGTACAGAAGCTAACGACTATTCCCAGGTCGGACTCCTCGCAGCAGAGCCCCACCGCGCGAACTTGGCGAATGCCCCAAACGCCCTGTTGCTGGGGGCTCTAGGTGTGGACACCTGTAGGCGAGCCGGGAATCCTGCGCAGCTCCCCGGCAGCCTCTGTCCATCACCGGCTGATCGCCCCTCCCCTGGGCGGCTGCCATCCACCGTTTGAAAACGATCCTTTCTTTTCCTGCCCACACAAGCGCTCCCCCACCGCCAGGGGAGCTTCCTGGGATCCTCAGAAAGGCGGCAGGCGAGCAGGACGCTCCCCTATCGGTCTGCCCCTGACCCGACTAGCCTTTGTGTGGGTGCTGTGCTTAGCCGTCTCCTTTGTTTTAACTCCAGGATCTGCAGGTGAAGGATTGTCGGTGCACCGATCTTTCCTCCCCCCCGGGCTGTTTTTTCCTGTTACCGAGCCATCCCTTGGAAATCATTCCTCGGGGCTGGCCACTGTGTATGCCCCACGTACGAGCTTCTCATGCAAAACCTTGGAAGTCGTCACAGGAGCCCCTACTATTTGTTAGCATGCAAGAGCTGCGAAAGGAGCCCAAAGCGCTGTGTAAACGGGCGACAAAGAACCGCAGCCACCTAGGTCACGGATTGCCGCTGGCTGGAAAAGTGCAATACAGGAAATGTTCAGGACCAAACCGGTTCAAAGAGACAACTGTTTTTGTTTAGTTACTGAAACCATAAATAGAAAACCTTGTCTAACCTAGTAGGTTCGTTTGGGCGTTCAGTTTTGCTGATTCCAAAGCACCTGATATCCTGATACAAGCCTTTTTGTGTTTTCTTACCCAGAAAAGAATTAAATCTAGGCTGTGTGTGCAAATGAGGTAAACCTTTTAGACTATAAATCGGAAGATTATGCAGCCCCTAAACCGCTTTGAGCTGTGTTCAAGTACTACATTAGAAACGCTGTTTTCTGCAAAGGTCCCTTACTTATTAATTGCCACGGTCCATGAAAGATTTGCAGGCTTTACAATCATTTATGGTACGTGCAATAAAATCCAGGTGATAGGAGCAGACTGGTTCAAGGTGTAATGCAAAGATGTATTAGGTGCCCTTGGCAA